ATTCATCTGTGTACGCCGAGGACGTCTGCTCCGCTCACATGGATGTTGAAAAGCAGAGACTGCGACCACGTGTCAGCCTCCTTCATGTCCTGGGAGGGGTCCTGGTCACAGCCCCTGTGGAGCACTGGCTGTGAGATGGAGGAGGAGCGCTGTCTGCACCTTGTCACTGGCATGGCGCCTTTGAGGATGGGCGGGGAGGCCGGGGCCAGGCTGCGACGGTGCTCGCGCTTCCCTTCGGGACGTGGTTGGGACCCTTTCGTGCTCCCCTTCGGGCATCTCACAGCCTCAAGGCACTCAGGCCGACGTTGCCCGCTCCCAGGGCTGCACTGGCCCGTGGGCAGTTTCCACCTGGGTCGCTCGGGGCAGGAGACGATGAGGAAGGGAGGAGCCCACCCCGCTCTGCGTAGCACCCGAGGAGGCGGAGTCCGGCCTGGGCGCAGCGCCCTCGCTCTTGGGCCTGTCGGCACGAGCGCCCCAGCCGTGCATGTTTTCTCACAGTGAGCCTTGTGTTCGTCTAGACACCTCGAAGGCGCTTTCGGTGGCGACCCCCTAACTTGCAGATCAGAGCCCCCAACAAAGACTCAGAAAACGGGAGGCAGGAAGGCGCCGAGAGCAGGGACGAGGCTGCGGACGAAGCTCAGCGGGAGGCAGACCCGCAGGGAGCGCTCGCCAGGTACGGGGCTGCCTGTGCGGAAAAGCAGGGCCGGTCCGGCGGCCTCCGTCTCCCGGAAGACCGAGAACACCCGCCTGTGTCTCTCGCGTGTTTTCTTTTGAAAGCGGGGACATTTGCTCCCCTGGGAGCGGGCCCAGGGTGAGGGGCGCTGCCTCCTCCTGGTTGTCCAGGTCGCGTGCCAGCGGGGCAGCCACCACAGGCCATTGGCACCTGTGTCCCTGGGCTGGCTGATTCCTCTTTTTCCTGTTCCTGAAGCTGGCGGGGAGCAGTGATTGAGCCGGAGGTGGGCACCAAAGTCCCCTGGAGAAGGGCAGTAGCCCCCACCGGGATTCAGAAGCACCCAGGTAAGGCCCCACCTGCGCCCTCTCGAGCCTCACCTGGGCGTGTGGACTGAGAGCGCGTATGGACGTGCAGATGAGCGTCCATGCGTGCCATGGAGTACCAGCCATCTCTCTGATGCTGATTGTCCTTCAACACCCTGGTGGGCCCCAGGTCCTGGGGTCACACACTCTTTAGAGTTTTGGTGATGACCTATGACTCCTTGAGGGCTATTGTCCCAAGTCCAGGGCCACAGACAGAGGAGGCTTCGTGTGCAGTAGCCTTGTCCTGCCCGCATCTGCTCCGAGAGGGGCTTAGGGTGTGCTGGTCCCCTCAGCATCTCCCCTAGGCCTAAGGGGCCCGTTGGCAGTGTGGGGTCCCTGTGTTCGGGTACCAGCCGCTGGCAGGCCCGCTGGGTTCGGGCCCTCTGTAGGCTCAGTGCAGCTTATCTGCTTTGGTCTCCAACACTCTTTGAGGTCGTCAGTCGAGCGTGTCCCCGTTCCACAGACCGGAGAACTAAGGTCAGGTCAGGAGCCACCCAGGCCACGTGCTGCTGTGTGGGGACACGCACCAGGTCAGCTGAGCTGGGGCCCGGGCACTGACCCACTGCTGCTGGCACCTTTGCAGCAGGAGGATGAGGGAGCCCAGAGTTGGGACTGGCAGCCTGGGCATGTGGGGACACAGAACGATCGTGTGGCATTAAGGGACATCAAAGCCTTGGGCATCCCTCACGTAGGCCTCAAACCATGTCGAGAGGATGCGTGGTGTGAAGCCAGTGACACGTTCACGGACACGGTCACCCTATGTGTGTGGTCCTGCTACGAAAACAGAATAAGCTCCCAAGTGCAGGGAGGGGGCCTCGGGTGTCCGCTCGGGGTTCCTCTGATGGCACCAGAACGTGGGTTCTGAGAGACCAGGTGGTCTCGTCCACGTCACCAGCACCTGTCACAGTTGACATTCCCAAACCCGAATTGCCCCACCAGTGTGGTTGTCACTGGTGTGCTGTGTACAGTTCCTTTGCTCCCCAGGTGCTCCCTGTGGGCCCTCCCAGAGGTGGACATGGCCAGGCCAGGTGGGCACAAGTCGAGCCGCCGTGTGGTACTCCGCGGCCTCGCTGCCTTGGCCCCGGCCAGCTCTGGGGGTTGGACCTCTGGCTCTGTGCCCCAGCCTTCACTGCTGTCCACTGCTGCCCACGTCCCGAACAGTACCCCATGGGTCATCGGCGTACTTAAGGTGGGGCCACACGAGGGTAATCAGCCCTGGCCAGATCTGGGTCCCCACATCCTGCTCCCTCTCCAGCCCCTCCAAACAGCCGCCAGAAGGCCGTGGTGGACGCCTTCCGCCACGCCTGGCTCGGGTACCGCAAGTTCGCCTGGGGCCATGACGAGCTGAAACCCGTGTCCAGGTCCTTCAGCGAGTGGTTCGGCCTCGGCCTCACGCTCATCGACTCCCTGGACACCATGTGGATCTTAGGTCTGAAGAAAGGTATCTGTCCTCTTCTTGCACGTGGCCACTTGCAAGAGCGCGAGTGTGCCGGGGTCTCCGCGCCACAGGCAGCAGTTGGGGACAGGAGTGGGCATGTGGGCACTTCCTTTGTCACCTTGCATCTGCATGCCCAGGGGACACTCAGGATAGCCAGCGTGGACCCTGGGTGGCCGTCCAGTGGCACTTCCTGCCTGAGTTTTCGTGGCAGTCAGGAGACGGCCCGGTGTCAGGAGGCAGCACGTGATCCGTGGTTGATCTGTGGTAGCACCACAGATCTCTCCCCGGTGTGCTCCCTGGTGCCACACACAGCGGTGCAGACTGGGCCTGCGCATCGGTAGTTACGTTTAGTTGAGAATTTAGCCACTTGCCCTGAGTTTCCAGAGCAGCCACCGAGTTACTCACATGGTCCTTTGGGCTGTGGCCTGTGATTGTCAGTCCCCGTGCTCACAGCTGTGTGGGCTGTCCCCAGCCGTATCTGCAGACTCGAAGACTACGATTTATGTCCTTGCACTGGGAAATGACGTTAATCTCTCAGGGAAAATGGCCGGGACAGAATGCATGTAGCCCTAGAGGAACAAGATGGGCGCTGGAACCCTGGGCATGTCCCGTCCCCTCTCCTGTTCCGTGTCGTAGAATTTGGAGAAGCCAGGAGGTGGGTGTCCAAGAAGCTGCAATTTCAGAAAGACGTGGACGTCAACCTGTTTGAGAGCACGATCCGGCTCCTGGGGGGGCTCCTCAGTGCCTACCACCTGTCAGGGGACGCGCTCTTCCTGCAGAAAGCCGTGAGTCCCCGGCTGTGACAGCCCCCTCGCCTGGGAGGCCACGTCTCGGTACCCCAGCACGTTCCCTTGGGCCGGGATTCAGGAGCGTGGGGCTGTCCAGTCGGCTCCCCCGCGGGTCACGTGTCCATCTGGGCGCGCGTGCCGAGCTGAGCATCCCGCTTGTCCGCTGCCGCCGGCGGGAAACGCGGTCGGGCCCACTGAGCCCAGCGCACTTCCGCTGCCGGGCAGCGTCGGAGCCACGCGAAGCCAGCAGGCTCACGTCTGTCCTCGTCATTGGACGGAAGCGGGCAACGGGGTGGCCTCGTGCACCGTGGACGGGGCCTCCCGGTGACGGCGGACGGTGACCTCTGTGTCCTCTGTCAGGAGGACTTGGGGAACCGGCTGCTGCCTGCGTTCCGGACGCCCTCCAAGGTCCCGTACTCCGACGTGAACCTGGGCACTGGGGTGGCCCGCCCACCCCGGTGGACGTCCGGTGGCCGAGGTGACGAGCATCCAGCTGGAGTTCCGAGAGCTGTCTCGTCTCACGGGAGCTACGAAGTTCCGGGTACGGGCCGGGCATCCCCCCGGGCCGTGGCGGTAAGCGCCGGTCACGTGGATGCCGACCCCGGGCCGCAGGACCCCGCCGACTTTTCCAAGAGCACCCGCCGGGTCACCGATAGCGGGCGCCGGGCCCGAGAGGCGGGGACCGACGGCGAGCGCTCCGCCTGGCCCTGCCCTGGTGCGGCGTCCCGTCCTTGGCCCTGACCGAGCTGGCGGCTTGTTACGCGGGGCTCTGCGTGGCCCCTGGCTCTGTGTCCTGGGCCTCCTCGGGGCCCGCGTGCCCGG